CAGGTAATAACTCAACCAGCCTACAGTGTTACACAATCCACCAGGATGTAGAATGCAAAGAATATTAAACAGCGTATTCCTCCTGCTTCTCCTCCTTTTTTTAAAGACAGAGTCTCACTCAGGCTGGCCTTTGTTAGGTAAAAAGAGCCAAAAACCAGAACCATAGTAAGTCTTTATTATGGGGAGGATCTGCCAGGCTGTCTCTGAACAAATGAGAGAAAGCAACATGGCAGAACAGGGAGCTTCTTCTATAGGGCCAGGGTTGGGTTCCTAGGAGCTGGGATGGGATTGAGCGATGTAGTATTAAGAGATCGGAGGAGCCTGTGACATCACTAGGAGGGCCTTGCAACATCACTAGCTGCATGGAGGTAGCAAGTATCAGGTTATTCTTTTGGTAGTATAAGAGGCATGATGGGAAGAAGGCTGTTCTTCATTGGGAGAAGTCATATTTTAACATGGAGGCTGCTATTCTATGTGGCAGCCATTTTAAGGCAAGGGAAATCTAACAGCTTGAACATGTAGCCCAAACTGGCCTGGAACTTGCAGTGAAGAAATATCTAAGCTTGAACATGTAGCCCAAACTGGCCTGGAACTTGCAGTGATCCTCTTGCCTCAGCCTCATAAGTGCTAGAATGACAGGCATGTACCACCATACCAGGCTTTATCCTCCTCTTGCTATATTGAGAATCTATTACAGTTTAAGCACATCTATGCTCCAACAGACAAAACTCAGAACAAACCTTCTGGCCTGAAGCTCTCAACACCCCCAGTACAGCAATTTAACTCAACCTTGAACTTGGTGCCATCAACACAGCATGTGGCCAAGAGTGAAAGCAAGGGAGTATCAAATAAGAATAATCTAATGATCATGGGGGCAAAAGAGTGGAAATAAAAATCAGAGATTTCAGTCATAGATTACCTTAGCTATTCAACTGACAAACACCTGCTATGTTCCAGGAATTGGTCTAGGCTCTGAGGATACAATGCAGAAAGAAGACAATGGCCTGAGAAGGCCAAGTATGACTAAGCAGTAAGCACTTGTGGCAGTGATTCAGGGGAGAAGAGCCATGGCTGAGACTAGGGCTGTGGCACCAGAGGTGGAGAGAGGGCATGGGTGTTAGGGCGAGTGGTCAGACCGGTAGAGCAATCTATTGACAAATTCTACATATAAATGATTAGCTTACCTCCGATTGCCAACATCATCTATTTAACTCAGACAATATGTAAGTGGACAATATAGAAAGTAAAATGTAAAAATCCCTCCTGCACCTTGACATCTCACCCTAAAGGCAGCCACTCAGAAAGGCTGGTGATGGTAGGAAATGGTGTGGAAGAGGAGGGCTTGTGAAGGGGGCCTGTGCTCCTGAATGAACTGGATGGGCACTGAGGTGATAATAAACTCTGAAGAGGACATTTGGACGTAGAAGATGGGTTTACTTTGGCCATATTGATAGAGTATGCAGCTCAGTGGTTTTTGAAAAAATGCAAAGTCTTTGTAAATAGGGGAGAGGGGAGGAGGTGAATGGAGGGCAGGGGTATAGTATAGGGAAAAAATGAGAACCAAGATCTGTTATGTAAAGGTACAAGATCCGAATGATAAAAGTAACTGTACTGAATACTGAAAAAGTACCAATACACTCAGTGATTAAAAAAAAGAAAAAAAAAGATTTTGTCTTTGTTTTGGACTTCTGGGGTTTTGATTATGATGCGTTGTGGGGAAGCTTCTTTATTCATCATAGTTACTGCTGTTTTGTAACTCTTGCTTACCGGTATGTTATTCCCCCCCCACAGAAATATTTTCCAAATTGTTCATCTGTATACCTTTTTTATACCCTGTTTACTGTCCTTTAACTTCTCTAACTTCAATTAGCCTTAGGTTAGTCTTTTGGTGTCAATTTTTCTTGCTTGCTTATAATTTTTAAGGTTTTTCTAAGTAAATTATGTATTTTCATGTTGTTCTTAATTACTGAAACCCTATGTTCACATTGGTCATCTCTGCTGCTTATGAGTTCAACAGAATCCTTTATCTCTGTGTATCAGTCAGTGCTCACTAGAGAAACAGATTTAATATAAGATACACAAATACATACAGATTTTCTGGGCCTGGTGTCACATGGCTATAATCCCAGCACTCAGGAGGCTAAGGAAGGAGGATCACCATGAGTTTGAGGCCAGTCTGGGTTACATAGTGAGTTCAAGGCCAGCCTGAACCACATAGTGAGACCCTGTCTCAATGACATTAAAAAATATATATTAATATATATATATTTAAATATGTATTATTATATATTTGAATATTTAAATATAACTATGTTTATAAAATATTTTATATTATATATTATGTATATTATTTGAATATATTCATTTAAATATATATATTTACAAGGTAGGTTTATAACGGCCCCCTACAGGCAGGAGAGGGAAACTGTAAAAGGATTTCCACATGCTGGAGATCCAAAGGATCGAAGGCTTGGAGTTCACTGCAGTGTTCCATGTGAGTCTGTATCAGGAGGCTGAAGGGCCTGTGAGGGAAGGCTGATGGGTCTGTGCTGGAGGCTGAAGAGTATGCACTAGAAGCTAGGGGACAACGTCCAAGGTGAAGGTAAAGACTGAAGCTCCTCTGAAGAAACAAAAGTGAGTCTTCCTTCTTCATTCCCATTTTTATTCCACATAGGCCACAAGTCCTTAGGTTGGTACCACTCACACCCAGAGTGGGTCTTCTGTATTCAGTAAATCCATTCAGCTATATCCAGAAATATGCTAATCCAATTAATTGGACATTTCTGAGGCAAGTTGATACAACAGTTAACTATCATACCCTGGGAGATTTGTTTGTCATCTTTTCATGGAGTTGTGATAGTTACCTATGGTGTCAACCTGAGTAAGAAATGCCCAGCTGATTGGCTTATCATAGTTCTAGGTGTGTCTGATGGATTTACTGAAGAGGGAAGACCCACCTGTGTGGGCAACACCAACCAGTAGGCTTGTAGACTGGATTGAATAAAAAAGGAAAGAAGAAGGTTTCACTTCTGTTTCTTCAGAGGACCTCCAGTCTTTACTATTACTTTTGGATATGCATTTCCAGGCTTCAAGCCCAGACTTTTTAGTCAAGCTCAGACCCTTCAGCTTCCTGATGTGGACTCCCATGTGTCACTGCAGTGAGCTTCAGGCCTTCACCTGCTGACTGGATGCTTTGGATCTATAGCTTGCAGGTGGCTCTTCTGCATTCTTCTATACCTCTCTTATAGGTAGCCATTGTAAGCCTACCTACTTTGTAAATCTGTGTGTGTGTGTGTGTGTGTGTGTGTGTGTGTATATGTTTTATATCTCTTCTCTAGAGAACACTGACTGATACAGAGTGGGTTGTTTTCCTTGGTTTTATGAGACAGGGTCTTGCTATGTTATTCAGGCTAGCCTTGAACTCATTATGTAAGCCAGATTGGTATCAACTCATCATGATTCTTCCTCAAACTCTCCAGTGCTGGGATTATAGGCATGAACCACCACATTCAGCTACTTATTTATTTTTGAGGCAGGGACTCACTATGCAGTTCAGGCTGGTATTGAACTCACCATGTAGCCTAGGCTGGCCTCAAACTCATGGTGATCATCTTGTCTCACTCTCCCAAATGCTGAGGAATGGTGTGCACCATCATTCCTGGCCAGAGTTTTATTTTTTTGGTATATTTTTCATGCATGTTTTGAATTGTTTTGGTCAGCTCTTTCAATGTTTGGTTCTCCCATAACCACAATGGTTAGTTTGATAGTTCCACTCTCTTTTGGGTCATATCTTCTTTGAGCTGAATTTCTTTGCTGCCTCAAGATACACTTTTCTCCAGCACCGATTCAGAGGCACTCACCCTTGCTGTCACTCCTAGACAGCCACATTCTCTCCTTGCCACTTTCTGAAACAATTCTGGAAGATCTCTTCTGTGAGTATTTTTAGTTTATACTGTCGTGGCTACCTCACTGTCTTGAATAATTTCAAAATGTTTACCTTTCCTGGTCATTTTCATTTTGGGGAAGACCCAGAAGTCAAATAGTAATAGATCTGGTAAAAAGGGAGGATAAAGACACACCGTATTGTTTTTACAAGCCTGCTTTTCCTCTGGATAGCATGAAACAGCAACATTCATTGTAGTTTTGACTACAATCTATAAAGATACATGCAGAAAAAGACTTCCTGCACAGCTTCACAAAGTAGCAAAAATGAAAGGATAAGAATGTTTGAAGTGTGGGAGAGCATTCTGAGAGGGATCTGTCTCTTATTATAAAAAACAAAATTTATAAAGAATGAGAAATTAGATTCATTTGTAGGAAAATGGATACATATTGAGGATATACTCCTAAGTGAAATAAATAAATCACACTCATAAATACCGAATAGTTTCTCTGGTGTGAAAAACTATAATAGTACATAAGACCCTAATGAGATAACTGACAGTGTGAAATAGGAAGAAAAGGGCTAAAGGTATAGGGAAAGTGGGAAAGGTAGGGGAAAGGTAATAAGGGAAAAGAAAAAAGTATGAGAAAATGAAAGAATGGAAATAAAATGTTTGCAAACGGGGAGAAGAGGGGGTGAAGGGAGGGCAGGGTATGGGGAAAAAATGAGAACCAAGACCTGTCATGTAAAGGTACAAGATCCCAATAATGAATGTAACTGCACTGTATACCTAAAATGTACCAATAAACTCAATTTAAAAAAAAACTTAACATTTAAACATCATATATTTTGATCACTCTTTGTATACCCAACAGACAGGCAAACATGATGGTATATTTTAAAAGCCAGATATATTTTTAAAAGATCACATAATAAGTAAATTATGTAGTGAATAAACATCAACTGAGGCTGATGAATAAAAAGGCACATCTGAAAGGTTTGGGAGGAGTAGAAAGAACAGTTCTTTGCTTTCTAATGTAGGAGGAGAGAAAAACAGACATATTAAAATTATTATTTCAGGTGGAAGTTTCTGTCAGTGGAAGTGATTAACACTGGCTTCTACTCTCCCTCTTCCAAGGCAGTCTTTGCTTTCCTTGTCTTCTGAGGTCTTCAATCTTCTGCTACGTAGAAGCGATACATCATGGCAACAGCCAAAGCCGAGATGGCTGGGATTACCCAGTTGGTCCAATAACTACAAAAGACACATGAATAATGATGCTTACATGAAGTTCAGTTCAGAGAATGTATCTGCTCTCTCTGGAAGAAAACTATCATGGCATGCTTTTCTTACCTCTTTAATCAAGTTGGCTAAAAAGGTAACTCAGCTTTGCTAAATGTGATGTGAGTGTAACGCATGCCTAGAATGCATGCCTAGAATACTAGCAATCACTCTCCTCTGCTGGTGTTAAGACAAAACTAATGTTCCACCAACTCTGCTTAAATCAATTTCTGTGAACTTTTTTTTTTGGTACTGGGGATCAAACTTGGGACCTTGCGCTTGCGAGGCAGGCAGCGGCACCACTGAGCTAAATCCCCAGCCAAATTTCTACAAACTTTATGCAGAGACTACTGTAATCCCTTTCCCAACACAATGCCTAGGAGAAGTGACTTTCTCAAGAATATAAACTCTAGATTATGTATTGAAAGGTAACAAAAGTGAATATTTTCAATCTACTTTATTAAGGATATGTATATTAATTAAGAATTTTTAATTCAGTGGTACTCAGCTGAGAATCAGAAATTCCAGGTTCTCATTTTGGGCGAACTGTCAGCAAGTGCTATAGTCAAGGGAAGATCACATCCCTTGAGTTGTTAAGTAAATGTGTCTAAAATTGCTAAGTACTATAGTGGCCTCCTATACCTTAGCTCTAATACTTGATCTGCTTTGAAAATCTTCTCATGACACCTGTACTTCATATATTTAAATTGTAAGGCTATCACATGCCGAAAGTAATTAATTTGTGGTCTACAACTTAAATAATTACAAAAATACCTAATTTACTCACTGTTTGGTTTTGATGCATAAAATTTCATTTCTATTTACTATACATTACAGATTATGGGTAAACCAGGACCAGTGCTGAGAAGACTTGAGTCTTTAAATTAATTTGAATTGATTTAAGATTTCAATGTCTTAACAGAAATCAATATATAGTCTTTGACATCCAAACTATGTATACATATATTTCCTATCATAAACTTTTTTTTGTTGTTGTGTTTATTTGAGACAGGGTCTCACTATGTGGTTGAGACTGACCTGGAACTCACTGTATAGCCCAAGATGGTCTCAAACTCACAGCAATCCTCCTGGCTCAGCCTCCCAAGTGCTGGGATTATAGGCGTGCACCACCACATCCGGCTCCTAGTATAAACTTTTTATTCTTTAATACTCTTCATACATCAACCTACTCAAAATCAAGTTCAATTAGATTCATTCATAGGAAAATGGATACATATTGAGGATATACTCCTAAGTGAAATAAAGAAGTCACAAGTGTAAATACTGAATAGTTTCTCTGGTGTGAATAAACTATAATAGTACATAAAATCCTAATGGTATAATTAACAATGTGAAATAGGAAGAAAAGGGTTAAAGGTGTAGGGAAAGTGGGAAGGGTGGGAGAAAGGTAATAAGGGAAAAGAAAAAAGTATGAGAAAACGAAAAAATGGAAGTAAAGTGTTTGTAAATGGGAAGGGGAGGAGGGGGTGAAGAGAGGGCAGGGACAAGGGGAAAAAATGAGAACCAAGTCCTGTCATGTAAAGGTACAAGACCCCAATAATGAATGTAACTGTACTGTATACCTAAAATGTACCAATAAAAACAATGAGAAAAAAAATCAAGTTCTGTATAAAGGCTTAAAGTGCAAAAAGATTTTTATGATTTTTATCTCACTAGAGTTTGGTAAGAAAGAAGAAAGAAGACAGAATAACAGTGGAAAGTGAGGTGAAACAGTGTAAGGAGAAAGGGAAGATTCTAGAACACCAAAAAACTAGACAGTTAAATCTGATATATAAAATACAAATACGTGGTTTTGAGTTTGGGTTCTTTGTCACCACCACCACACACACACAAAAAAAAGTCAATATAGTAGACCTGCCAAAAATGCTAACATGACCTTAAATGTAATAAAGACACCAGGTCCTGCCCATAGATTACTGGATTCAGTTTTAGGGCCAATTCAGTGACAAAGGAAAACTCAACCATGCTTAGGGAAATGGAATCACCAGTTGAAGATGACCAAATATAAAAGAGAAAGGAAATGGAAGTTTTGCCTGGAGAGGTCACTCATGGGACTGATCCTCTGAAGGGCTATGAAACAGGGGACATGGACATTCCACTTGTTTTGTGTGTTTCTTTGCACAGATGCAGCCAGAGGGCAAGATCTGGAGTCACTATGAGAAGTGTTCATAGTTGATGCTGACAGTTTAGGACAGAAAGCCTTGAATGGTCTGGGCAGTCAGAGGAGATGGCCTGGGATGACCACAGGCAGGAAGCTTAGAGGGAACCCAAGTACAGAAGAAGTTCAGAGAGCGGAATTGCCCAATCCAATTCTGACATGAGCCTTTCAAGCCAATAATGCTTTTAAAAAAAACTACCACATACCTGGAATTAGACTCAGTAGTAGTAATAAGACTATCCTGGAACACAAGAGAAAACTTGATGTAAGGCAATGTCTCAACATTTATTCTGTTGACTAAACACCTGTTTTAAAATAAGATCACAATTTCATTCAACACAATCTTTTAAAAATGTTTGAAAAAATTATATCATAATCTTTTCACTAAGATGCCAAAGTTAATAGTTATCTATATGTAAATTACTTAAGAATATAACTGAAAATTTGAAAATGTTCAACGTTAACACTTACGTAAAATATGCTGCACACAATAGGCATCTAAATACTTTGACACAGAAACTGAAAATAGATATCCGGAATACATACACACAACACTATCATCACCTTTATGAAGGACAGATTAATCTTCAAAAGCATGAAAGTGTACAATAAAAACATCAGTTATTTCATTCAAATCCAATAGGACATAAAAGTGTACATAAATTACATCAAATATATGTCAACAAACAAAAAAAAAAACCATGACTTCAAGTTCTAAAATTACAGAGCACCTTTTCTGAATTTCCTGTAGCTTTGGCCAGAAGGGACCCATAAGGTGACTGCAGGCCACAGGGACTGTTCTACCTGGCCTCTAAATAAGGAAGCCTTGTTTGTACCTTTCAGCACTTCCTGGGAGTAGCCTTTCTTGTGAGGCTCACAGAGTGAATGGACAAGATCTCAGGAAAAATGTATGCATCGCCAATGGCTAGAAAACTTAGGACTAGTGAAAGAAACTTTTCTGAGCTTGGAACCATGTTAAAAGCATTCTTTAGTACTCCACATCAGCAAGGTATTAGTTCTTCACACGAAAGTAGCCATTAATGTGGTAGCTTCAGCAAAGACTCTGAGGTCTGCAGTTTCCTGCAGCCCAGATATAAAAGCATTAGGAAAATTATCAGCTGTTTGCAGTGAGACAAAGCTCTACTCTGCAGGGTACAAAGCCTGTTAAAGACACTTCCGTGAAAAGGAAGAAATCTTTCAGGGAAGTGGAAGCAAAGCAGTCACAAAATACACCGACCTTGAAACATCGCCTTCACCATTCCTGACACAGTAGGAGGAAAAATTAGTCCTTTAAAAAGAAAACTTCACATTTATTATCTTTATTAAGCACTTTTAAATCTTAGTATCTATAAAACTTACTCACAACCACTGTTGAATTAATTTCCAAGTTTTGTATGTATAAATAAAATTAACAAAGAGTAGTTACTGAGGTATTAGAAGAAAGACATAATCAGTTCTGAAAGCAAAGACTATACTGAAGGTAAATTATTGTTGTGACAACAGGGAGTTAGGTGTGAAGCAGTAAAGAGAAGGCAAACATGCACAACCATGACTTTGTTACAATGGGGATGGGTGTGTGCATTTTACCAAACTTGCGACTCTCTGTGCAACCTCGGTTGGCTTCCCCTTCTTTTGCCTTCTTAGTTGACATCAGTTCTAATGTTAATGTATCACCCTAGTGCTAACACACCGGCTGCTAATATGTAAAAGTCCTGCTACCATATCAGCAGCAGCAGCAACAGTAACTCTGAAAACAGAGCTTAAAAAAAATATACTTTTGGGAGGGGAGGAGGGGGTGAAGGGAGGGCAGGGGTAAGGGGAAAAAATGAGAATCAAGACTTGTCATGTAGAGGTACAAGATCCCAACAATGAATGTAACTGTACTGTATCCCTAAAATGTACCAATAAACTCAATTAAAGCCGGAAAAAAAGTATATACTTTTTAAATTATCTTCTTGGCTCTATAATACAGGCCTGAAGTACTGCTTAACACGTGGATGTAAAACCAAATTGTCTTTAGTGGCCAAGGCTATGATGGGTCTCTCAGTTGGGTCAGGGATTACACTATCAAATATGTCAACAATGAACAGGGAGAAAAGATTACAGTTTTTAAGACAAGCACTTCTACTTGTTTAATCCACAGCCTGGAAGCATCCCAACTTCTAGTTAAAAAAAAAGATTAATAATTTAATTGGAATATGTCATGTATAATTATCTATAAAAGTCACGCAAGCAGTATAAATTGTAATCTCCATATTACACATACAAAGCCCCCGAGAAACTTTTGCCAATCAGAGTTACTTTATCTAATTTAGCTCACTAATCAGTAAAAAGACTTTCTCTCTTAAAATGCTGACAGTGTGCCTTCCTGAGCCGTGCAGGGCCTGGGGAAGCTTAAGAGACCATAACTGACAGGCCTGAGATGGGTGCTAGACTCAGTGTGGATGGTTGGCTTTCAGCAAGGTGCTTAACCAAGCTTCCTTGTCTTTCCCATCCTTGGCAGGTCTGTGGATCTCACAGGAACAATGCAAGAGCCAAAGAAAAATTTATATAACAATGCTTGGAAAATTATAACCAAGAAAGAGTATTGCTGCTACTAACACATTCCACCTAAGCAAGTTTGATATACAGATAGGTTTAAAACATATAATTTTGAGGTAGAGAAATATGTTAATCTGGCAGTTTAACACTATAGTTCCTTTGGCAGTTTCAAGTTAATTATCTGCAGTGTACCCTGTTTCACAATTCAGCTAAGTTATTTTGAGCAGCTTGATTATCTAACTTTTTTTTTCCCCCTTCAGTGCTGGGATTAACACAGGTCTTAGCATAATAGGCAAGTGCTTTACCACTGAGCTATAACCACAACCCAAGCAGGAAACATTTTTTAAAAATCAGATTGCCTAAGCTTAAATCTTGCATGGTTTCTCTTGTAATGAGAAAGTTAAAAAAAATAAAAAAAAAATACACAGAAATTATATTATTAAATTATATTATAAGGCAGATAAATAAAAAGTAGGGAGAAGTTCAAATAATTTCAAAAATGATCTATTCTGTTGGTTCAAAAATATTTAAATTATATGCAAATTCATTCCATTTATACTACTAGTTTTTCTAGTTCATTGAAAGGGAAGTTTTTATGCTTTATCGGTTTGTCTTTTCTTTGTAAGAGAATTTTTTTGTCTTGTACTCTGAGTACTTTACAGAAATACTGTATTAAGCATTGTCATTTTCTTACTATTTTGTTATTTTATTTTATTTTTTCATAAAATAAAAAAGGCTATAGTATACATTTTCCAGCCTCAAGAGGGGCTAGTTATAGACACACAATTTAAAATCGCTACAGATCCTCTTTTCTTCTTTAAACAAAAAGCACGAAGTCAGACCTAGAAAAATGGTCATACATTTTCTTATATTTCATTTGTTTATGGCCTATCTTCCTCCAGCTCTGTTCTAATTAGAGCTGTCATAATGAAAAGACTTATACTTTCTTCCTGTTATTTATTTGAAGCAAAACTTCCTACCACAGTTCTTTAATTATAATTTCTTGTATAACAAAACATTCAAAAGTTCGTACCATCTGTAAAATTACAGAAGAGTACAACAATCTTCAAAAAGTTAGTGTGATTCATACTCCAGTGAGATCTTCTATATCCAGGAAGCTGATCAAGCATCAAATGCTAGTTTTGAACTAAAGTAACAGGCAGAACCGCTCACTCTAGCACCATGTGTCTGGAACCCTTTCTCTGATCTTGAAATCTTGATTCCTAGAATTCAGCGTGTAAACTTTCTTTCTTTTCTCCCAAGATAACCCAAGAATCTAAGTGACAACATGTTAAAATAACTACTGTACATACCCACAGAGGAGAGCAAACAGTAATGGGCAATGGTACCACACAGAGCACAACACATATATGCTTAAAGCAAAGGAAGCGGGGTGGAGGCTGGCCTCCAACACAACTGCTCAGCTCAGCACCTCACACCTGCATGTGCTTTCTGTCTCTGGGCATTATGTTGAGGGGCAAGATCACAAGCCACACTAAATCCTCGTTTTCCAGCAGCTGTATGATTTGCACCAAGATCATTAACATACTGAACATCATCAGGAAAACAAAAATAGAGCTTTCCCAACAGACTTCAGGGAGGGAAAAAAAAAAAAAGCAAAAACTTTCTATATCAAAATTCCAACTGTCCAAAAAGTAGCCTCCAAAAAAAAAAAAAGTGATCTAGCCTAATGAACTTATAGCAAGGATTCTAAGCAATTGTTCCAAACATTTTTCAAACTCTCAAGTCCACTTTTTATCTCCCTGAAGCACTAATATCACCAACACTGAAGTTAGGGCTTTTTTTTTTTTTCCGAAGGGAAAAATATAAATGAAACTGCTTTGTACTACATAGCACTATTAAAGACTTTAATCGTACCATCTGAGGGACTAAGGTCAACATGGCCTTTACACTGACACCACTGAATGAGTTACTCTGTATGTAGATGGAAGACCGCATCCTGTCAGCACTGGTAGCAAAATCAGCTCACCAGGTCTTACTACAAGCTCTGCAGAATGTTGTTGTCTGTCTTCTCTCCAGTAAAACCAGCAACTTATATTAAATGAAAAGGTGATATTTTATTTCTGTCATTTGTTAGAATCAAAACTCTCCTTTGTTCTTTAACTACACACTAGGAAATACTTTGCCTATTTGTACTTTTTAGATAGTTTGCCTATTCTCATCAATTCATACTCTGAATTATCTTCAAATATAAGCAAGAAGGACAGTCAGCTGTGAAGGAAGAATTAGAGAACCAGTATATAAAACTAGTGCGGCTTATTGAACACCTACTCTGCCCAGAGATGTAGAAGAGAGAGAAACATGGGTGACGCCCTCCAAGATTCAGGCAAAAGGCCTCAACTTGATCTGGCTTGAAACTGTCAAAACAGGGCTCGTGTCATAGCTTACAGGTCAGAAGCTCAGCGCTACCGGTAAAAAGTAGCTCTTCAGGGCAGGGGATTCTTAGCTCAGTGGTTCTGCCACCTGCCTTGCAAGTGCAAGGTCCTGAGTTCAATCCCCAGTATCAAAACAAAACAAAAACAAACAAACAAATAAAAAAGTAGCTCTTTGAAGGTTAAGTTGTTTTTTTGTTTTTTGTTTTTTTTTTTTGCTTTACTGGGATTTTTGTGTGCTAGGTAATGTTCCACCTCTGAGCCATGCCCCCAGACATATAAAGGTATTTACTGATAATTATGATGAAATAATTTACGTTTTGAGAGTTGTACAAAAATAACACACAAGCTCTCTGCATAAAACATACCAATTGGTCCTTCCAAATAAAGCTTTTGCTGAGCCAGCAGGTTAATTATTCATCTTAGCTACAAAGAACTTTGACCCAGACATCAAAAGGTATTTACTGATAATTATGATGAAATAATTTACGTTTTGAGAGTTGTACAAAAATAACACACAAGCTCTCTGCATAAAACATACCAATTGGTCCTTCCAAATAAAGCTTTTGCTGAGCCAGCAGGTTAATTATTCATCTTAGCTACAAAGAACTTTGCCTCAGTAAGGTGAGTAAATGACCTGTGCCTTGAGTTTGACAGATACTAAAATGGAGATAACCCCCATCTACTAAGACATCTGAGAGTCATACACTTACCGAAGGCTTGGCTAACTTTGGTCTGTCATCCTGCAAAAAATAAAAAGGGAAACATTGTGTGATAATGAAACATGGACATCTGTATTCCTTTGAGATTTGTTTTAAAGTTACTATTCAGTAATTAGCATTTAGGGCTCAGCCTTCCACTGTTAAACACAAAGTCTGACGGCATCATAGAACATGACAGTTGATTTAGTGGCAAGAGGTATTTTCTACGTAGAGTTCCAAAGCTGAAAATGGTATTCATGACAGTCCTACTTATTAGTAGATGTGTGTAGGCATTTATTTACTAGACCTGCATGGTGATCTTTCATTTGAGGAGCAGCTGAAGACCTGATTCCTTCCTTCTCTCCTATTAAAATCCCTTTCATGCACTCTTATTCATGTGATATCCTCAGTCAATTCCTGCAATTTCTCATGAACTATTTAAAACTTAGGCTGAGGATGTCAAACACCAAAGGTGTCTACAGGACAACCACAGGTAAGCCCAGCAGGCAGGTAAGGAAGAATGGCTGCAGTCATGGCCTGAATCCCACTCTCCCCAGGCTCACAGACACTAGATGGGGAAAACAAGGATGGGATGAACCTCTGTGATTATCATGAAACTATTTCAATTCTGGAAAGTATGAAGATGGAAATATATAGGCAAATAAAATTTTCAGATAGGTGAGACATACTCCTTTAAAATATACATCTCTCACCACCAAAATAAAACAAACCAAAGAAAAATCCTCCTTCCTCAATGGAGGTTGTTCTAAGATCGATTTCCTACTCCTAGGCCTTCTACAAAATGCCCAATTTAACCTTTACTTCATTTACAGCCACTAAAAAGCATCATTTATATCCAACTTTTTATCCACTAGGACCAAAGATCAGGGGGTAAAAGTAAACAGAAAGAAGACAATATATGAGATTTACATAAGACAGAACCTATTTGTTTCATGTAGCAAAGCCCTTAAAGTCATTTTTTAGAATTAAAATATCCTCAGATGAATGAGAACAGAAATGGCATTTCTTCAGAAAAATACATATTGGTCAAAAAAACAAGGAAAAAAAAAAAGCTATGTTGTGAAGATAGTACCACCACCTCTTAAAATATGCTGTTCCATGAACTTTCATCAAAGCCTGAGATGTGCTCTCCCACCCAGCATAGACCCTTAGGGCCAAAGCATTTGGACTCAGGGCCAGTGAAAAATGCAACCAATGAAATCCAATGAAAATTCACATTGGCTTATTTATGACAAAAATTGGGGTTCTCAAATTAGGAGTTGCTTTTGTCTTACTCCTTTTAATTTTTGTGTACATACAAATCTTCGCTTGGGTAAGGTCCCGTAGTCTTATAGAGAAGAAAAGAACTCCAGAAAAAATACTTACAGGGTGGACCTCCCCAATGATAAATGTTTTAGACAGTTCTCTTGCATCAGAAGAATGCCCGACATCTTCAAAATTCTCTGTAGCATCACCCCCAGCTTGTTCTCTTAAGACTTCTTCCCCACCGGGATGCTATTCAAAGGATACATAGAATAAAAGTTAGTATTTTTTTTCAGGAAAATTAGTTTAAAGAAACGATAAGCTTATTTAGCCAAAGAAGTCATTCCAGAAATCAGAGATAACACTGGGTAACTGCAAGTGTCCACACTGTGCGTTAAACATACTCTTTTGCACTCAGTTTTCTTCAGAGAAGAGCAGTAGCCCCTTCCTCTGATGTCAGCTTCCTCCATGTCACTCACATGACGATATAAGTTTTATGCAGGTATCATGAACGTTTCGGTAATGTCTGCTTTGCTCGCTCATAACGGTGTCAAGTCTGTTCCCCTTCATCTGTACCCAATCTACGTCTTTAGTCCTCCACCTGAGATTTCCTCAATCTAAGTGTGGACTTAGGAATGGCCACTGGCCTGAGATAACAATCTGCAAAATGGAGAAGAGCATGTCATTTCCCTTTGAGAAGCAAACTGTGTGCCACTCTCCAGTAGGATAAAAAGGAAAGTAACTGGCCCAAGGTGCTGCCATCGGGATATATTACTGACAGGGATCAGCAGCAACAAGGAAAGAGGCCATTTCTACAGACAGAAGAGGTAGGAAGAGCCTCCTCCCTTTAATAAGCATGTGTTAGTAATACAGAACAGCTATGCATTCTAGGAAACTGGTACATGTATATATCACATCTTGATCATTTTTTATAACTTTACCCCCTCCTTTTCTTTTGTTTCCCTCTCCCTGATCCTCTTCCCAATCTCCAAGAATCTACCTTCAGAGTCCTTTCTATACCAGCAGCATTTTATCTACTTTTATTGGTAAAGCAAAGGTCACTCATGACACAGGGAGGGGATTTTTTTTTTCTTTTTAAGATGCTTAGTAAGGGACTCCATCACTGGACATATGTGAAGAGATCTAGAGATTCTCAGGCAAGAGAAGGCATTCTCAGACAAGCAAAATAAAGTAGTGCTTGACTAAATCATATTTTATAAAGGGGGAGGGGACCCTTCTTTAATTGAACTTGAGGATTATCTTAGATCAAATGCACACTGACCACAAGCAAATCACCTAAAAGAGGCCAACAATAACAATTTATTACTGCTTGAAATTAAATTTTATATCATTTCGTTTGTAAGATTATGTGGATAGAAATTTCATCTACCTTGTTCACCCTGTCTTTCCCATAGGTCAATGCCTAGAAGTATTTGTTGGATAAATAAATAAGAACAAATCATCATGGGTTGGTTTTAGAACACATATATGCGTTCAGTAGCGGATATGAACTTTGTCTCATTCTAACCAGTTCATACAACTCTTTTCCCTGGACTGTAAGTTCTTACCATTCATATCATTTGATTTCATATCTAACTGCTGCCTAAATCATTTAATCAAAATATTTCACAATGTGCAAGGCATTGTGTGGGACACAAGAAAGTCTGTGCAAAATCAATGTAATTTGATCCTGAAGAAGCACACAATTCATTTGGAGTTAAGAAATAATGGAAAAGACCCCTAGTTTTCATTGATATGGCCTTACAGTTTTGACTATCCATGAACAATGCAACAGATCCCAACCACGCAGCATCTGTGCAGTAAGGCAGGACTGAAACAGTTCTAAAGAGGGCCGTGTGAAGGAGCCACCTGCCGCAGGCTCTCCAGCACCATTTCACAGTGTAGCCTGCTGATTCCTAACTTTTTTTTTTTTTGAGATAGGATCTTGGTATGTTGTGCAGATTCATCTTGAACTCACTGAGTGTCCCAGGCTTGTCTCAAACTCAAGGTGAACCACCTGCTTCAGCCGCCTAAGTGCTGGGATTACAGATGTGTACCACCACACCCAGCCTTCTTATCTTTTTTAATTTAAAAAAATCTTCCCCAGTTTTAATAAGGTAAAAATGACTAATACATACCATGGAATTTATGGCATACAAAGTAATATAATGTTCTGATACACATTATAAAATATTCACTCAAGCTACTTAACCTATTACCTCACCTACATATCAATTTTTTTGTAGGGAGAATATTTAAGATTTACTCTTAGCAATTTCTAAGTAAACTTTATTATTATCAATCACCCCTTGATGTACAACACATCCCCAGAATGAGAGTTCAGCACAAACCAAACTGCTTTGAAAGAAAAAGTTTTTGGCAGCTGATTTAACTCAGGAGAGGCCAACATGCAAGGAGTACGTGACCAAGGACCTAGTATGCTTCTGTGTCTATGAGACAGGTTTTAAAATCAAGCAGGACTTGTTTTACCATCTTGCCATTCCTAGGGCCTGAAGAGGTAAGGAGAAGTTCTTGTCTGTAGAATGCAATGAAGCCTTACAAAATACAGTTTATCTTATTTATACTAATTTTATATACATTAAGAATTTTATAGTTTTAGTCCTTGTTTTACAATTACTAAAGGTCTGAAGTGTTTTTTCAGTTACACTTTATTTAATGTGAGAAATACAGTTGTAATTGTACTTGTAAGTTTGAGGATTTACCAAAGGGCCAAGTACATTCAAAAATGAAAAAAATCAGGGATGGTGGTGCATGCCTGTGATCCTAACACTTAGAAGGCTGAGGCAGAAGGATAACCACAAGTTAAAGGACAGTCTGGGCTAGTGAGTTCAAGGACAGTCAAAACTATGTAGGGAGCTGAGAGCCAGAGATAAGGCAAGAAATGAAATGTTGAATGAAATCAATAAATTCAAGGATAGGAGAGGAGGTAGGTCATTTCAGTTAGGAGGATGGGCAACCAAAGAATCCTCAATATGCCAAATACTGATAGGGAAAATGAACTACTCCTAAGTCCAATTACCCATCATCCCAAGTAAAGGTACTCATTGAGCCTGGGTGGACTCAATCATCTCACAGGGTGTCCAGCCTTTCAACTTGCTGAGGCTACAATAAACAGGAATTGTTTTGAGCAGCATATAAAATGCAGATATAATACAGTTAATGCATGTAACAAAAACTCCTTTATATTTTTGTATTTTTTATCACATTAAAAGCAGAGGCATCCTGTGGGTTATAGGATGAACCCACCTGAAGGTATACTCTTGTTTGCCCAAGAAATTTACGAGCTTAAAAAGAAAATATAAAATCGATAAATTATTCCTCACAAGGCAACAAACATCCATAATGAATTAAGCACAATTTACAGCCTCTGGACAATGCTAAAAAAACAGATACAAGGCCAGAATTGTACTTCATGTTCCGTTAACACTGCCAAGCAACATTTTCAGGTTATCTGTTGAGTTCCTGGCTGTGAAAAAGCAGCACACTTAAAACTATAATCAACACATAACTTAACCTACAAGCCAGCCATATCCATGCCCACACCACCTCTTCACATTAAGCCCTATTGGTAATAATTTGCTTTAATCTAAAAAGGACTCAGTGTGAGAGGGTCTATCTGCACCTGGGATTGCTTCCTTCAGTAGAGAAGCCAAGGTTATCGGGATTAATCCATACTTAAAGCCTCCCTCCAGGCCATACGATCAATTATTCACAACCAAGTTCTAAGAACCTCACTAAAACACAAGGACTGCTTAACACTAGGGGGCTCAATGGTTTGCACCCAGACATCAGAAAAAGAACACAAACCCTATAGACAAAGCTCTGGGGCTCATGATTTACTCAGGAACTGTTTACTAAGTAAAAATAATCTCCAGGCCCACTCTTCTTCCTGTTTGTTTCTATGGCTATTTTACAGTTCCCAAGACTCTACACAGAAAATAAAATGAGCTTATTTTTGGAATTAATCTTTGTGGTTATGTTCCTTTGTCAGAAATAGTTTAATGCAACAGAATTATCTTAGGCTTGATACAGAATATTTTTGTTTAGCGGTTATCCCTAAGCCCTAGAATTCCTATATTTTATTGGCACTGGAAAAATAGAGAATAAACTTTCAAACTCAAAGACTAGATAGTCTTGTTCATGTGACAGGAAAGCCTTGCATCCTTGTCAAGGAAACTAGGGGGGCTTCTCATGCAATTCCTTGCTTCAGCCACCAACTGACTTTCTTGGCTCCAGTCCCTCACCCATTCTTGCCCCTATGACTATTGCAATAGTCATCCTCCCACTGTTTTGACCATTTCTTGCACCCTACCCAAAACCTACAACGGTGAGTCATTCAAGTCAAACACCTCTTGAATTTCTCCACAGAGGGAGTATCATCATCTAAACAGCACAAGTACCTTCAGGGGAGCAACTAAGTCAAGTAAGGGAAGGCTGCTCATTGCTCCAGTGTATGCTTCTCCTTCCTCTCCAATACCTAAATTTTTAGTTGAGAATCAGCCAGTAAATGGCATTCCAGCCTCCGTTGCTGCTGGGTATCTCATGCTAATGGAGGGCCAGGGATTTAGCTCAGTGGTGCCAGTGCCTGCCTCACAAGCACAAGGTGCTGAGTTCAATCCTCGGTACGCCTCCCCGCCCCAAAAAACCCCCAAAACAAAAAACAATTCTGACTAATGGAAAGCAAGCATAAGTGTCTAAAAAATGTTCTAGAGGTATCTCCTTTAGAGTGCTGTGTTCTTCTGCATCCCTGAATCCTGCCTGGAATAGGAATGCTGCCTTTGAACCTGAAAATAAGGGCAATGCTCCAAGCAGCCCAGGAAGGGAATTAGACTCAAGGAGTCTTCAAGGCCTGATGGAACACAGTCATCACCCCGTCCTAGGGAGCAAGGCTAGCTTCTTCAAGGTAGATGAATAAACTCCTATCCTGTGTAAGTACAACTATTTGGGGTTCTGCTGAGCCTCATTCTAATCTCTGTATTAATTATTTAGTCAAGAAATATAGCCTGCCAAACACCACATCAAGTGTATAGGCATATAAAAGACACGGTTAAGCATATTTCTAAGCCTCAAGAAACTTAAAGCAAAGTCAGGGCAAGTGTCTTGACATATATGAAACAATTCATGAAAAGTTAAAGGGCCACAGAATTGTTGACCAAACAGTATTTTTAGACTTCTGTTTAGAAAAGTAGAAACGTTAAAGAAATAATCTAAGCCCCTTTCAGATATTCAGA